GAAGAGAAGAGAAAGAGAGCGAGAGAGAGAGCAGAGAGAAAGAGAAAGAAAGAGAGAAAAGGAGAGAGAGGAGAAGAGAGAGATAAAGAGAAAGAGAAAGAGAGGGAGATGGGAGAGAGAGAGAGGAGAGAAGAGAGAGAGAGGAGAGAGAAGAGGAGGAGAGAGAGAGAGAGAGAGAGAAGAGCGGAGAGAGGAAGAGAGAAGAGAGGAAGAGAGGAAGGAGAGGAAGAGAGGAGAGAGGAGAGAGGAGCAGAGGAGGAGAGAGAGAGAGAGAGAGAGAGAGAGAGAGAGAGAGAGAGAGAGAGAGAGAGAGAGAGAGAGAGAGAGAGAGAGAGAGAGAGAGAGAGAGCTGCTCAGCTGGAGGGCAATCACACGTAACACGTACAAGCCGGCTCCTGACGAACTTAATTCCCGCGCTGCGAATAATTGATTGCGCTTAAAATATTCATGAGCAGACAAAAACAGGGGGCTAGACCCAGCTAGTTTGATGGATTGATAGGTAAAAATGCTTATTGTCAGCATATTCGGTAGGTGAAGGAAGTAATCGCTAATTAAGTTAGAGTTTTTTTGGGGAGGATTCAAGCGTAGCAAAAATGTCTAAATAGACTTTTTGTTATTATTCTCTCTTCAGGTAATTTGAATTGAATTCGATTTATGATTACGCGTATAGCAGTGGAGTACGGCGTAGAGAACTATGTCGATACCTCTGGCCATATCCATCACTCAGCACATTCATTTTCTGTTCTGAAACTACCGAAATATCACGCCCCCAGCAGTGAGAGTGCTTGGGACTAAAAAAAGACGTTTGTTTCCGCTAACCCGACCGAGTCAATTTTAAACCCCCGTGTCGATAATTTTTATTGTGATAGGCCAAAAAAATATTTTAAAAAAGTAAAAAAATATTTTGTACATGTACGATACATGTGCATAAGTACATAAGTACATATACATAGACTGTTGCAGTAATGTCAGTATTATTGCAGATTATTCACACAAAATTGGTGCCAGCTAGTATGCAATACGTGACGTCAGTTTTACAAAACTAACGCCTGCACACCAAACTGTTATTATTCCACTAAACTATGATGTCAGTATAGGAAACATCGGCGTCTCTTGACAGTGGCGATCAAAAGGCGACTAGAAAAAAAATATGAAAAAAAGAAATCAGCTCCCCCGGTGTTCGCCGCAAGTGCCTTCCTTTCTTTCGCCGCGAAATAAAACCTCCGATCATCCACGACAAGTAGCAAACAGTTGGTGTGGCAGAGTGTGAAACATGCTGGAAAGCCCTATGACCATACGCGACACAGCTGTTGTTTAAATTTCAAACAGCTCTTTAAATGCACATTAGAATTAGTGACCACCTGTTAGCCGCCGCCGTGCAGCGTTGGGGAGGGTGGATGGTGTAGAATGAGTGTTTGTGGGTGTCGGGGATTGGAGGGGTGGAGTAAGAAGGGGCCTTGTGGTGGTGCGGCGGTGGGCATGAGGTATCACAAAGAGGCTGGGCAGAGCAGATACGGGGACCCGTCTGATGGATTACACTGCAGCCCGCGGGCGTTGCCTGGTCAGCTTCAACAGATGTGTGTATGTGCGACCTTACACGTAGTACGTGACTGCGAGACGTAGCAGTCACCGGCAGCTCACCTCACTGCACGTGTCGCTGCCGAGTGAGTGAGTGAGAGTGAGTGAGTGAGTGAGTGAGTGAGTGAGAGAGAGAGAGAGAGAGAGACAGAGACAGAGACAGAGACAGAGACAGAGACAGAGACAGAGACAGAGACAGAGACAGAGACAGAGACAGAGACAGAGACAGAGACAGAGACAGAGACAGAGAGTGACACAGAACAGCCTGCATGCTCTCATCTTCTGCTGCGCGCATGCTTCATAGTGGCTTGTGCACGAAACTGAAAATTCCTAGAAGTTTATAAACTATATAAACTTATAAATTTAAACTAGGATGAATTTCGCGTGATGGTTACAAATTTTCGATGTTAGCTTGAAGGGAATACAATAGTAGTGTTCCTGTGACTGAAGTGATTGCTAGATATATAATAATATGCTAATGAATACTCTTTTTTTCTCTGACGATGCAGCATGTACATCTATAAATGAAATTTTCTATTATGGTCTCTTGATGTACATGTATGTAGAGGAAAAAAAGATTTTCATAGAAAGTAAATAAACTTCGTCCAAATTAACTTAGTTCATGGTATTTACTGTATTCGGCGTTAAACCAGTGTTGACTAAGGGCTAAGTGGCATTTTTTACGATGCTGGGCCTGTCACACAGACAAGCCAGGCAAATGGAAAAAGATGTTTCAAAGTGGTCGGGTTCTACAGTTAAAGAGACTGCTAGCAATTCTAGAGTGCAGAGCACAGGACGTGTCAACGTTTTAACACTAAACTCGCGTTTTTTGTACGTAGAGACGTTTTCAGTACGTTTCAGGATACTCATTCTGAATAAGCGCCCTCTAGCGCTCGCTGGATGTGATCATGAAGAAAGTGTTCATCGCAGTTTGCACATGTCCTCCGATCCAAGAAATTCTCCCGCTTTCTTTTTGTGTGTGTGTGCTACACTCAAGTAAAAAGTATTTATGTAAAGTAAAAGCACGTAGATCTACTTATAGCGGTCTCGCTCACACAGGGTTTTCGCGAGCATATTGCCACAGTCTCTTAGGTAAACAGTGCTGTGATGCATCTACCGACAATGCTGCCTGTGTCTACAGCGGCCGAGAGCGCGAACATCCCAAGTAAGCTTTTGCACGCGCGTTGACCCGATAGGACAAGGCAACTGTTCAACGCGTCAACCAATTCACCCGCCGAATTTGTCTCGTTGCGTTTTCGCAAATCGCGTTATCGCGTCGCTGGTCAAGGTGACCGCTAGGCTGGTCCCAAACGTCCGCGTTGCTGCAAGCATCGCTGACGCTCATCGACTTGCGGTGTCAGTCTAGGTGACCGTGCCGATCGGCTGCAATCACACGCGAGGGAACAAAAATTATACATCTAGCGATCCACCGTCAGCAGATGTCCCCCCTCCCACACAGGCACTTGGAACGTCTCAATAAAAAATAAAAAAAGGTAAATAAACACGAAATGTATTTACTTCCAAAGTCTTAATGTTTCTCTACTCTATCTCGCCTATAATCACCTGTAAATCGCCGGTCAAATGCTCATCTGCAACACACAAGTACACCGCACGCCCGCCCTGTGCACAAACAACATGAATAAGAGAGTAACATATAACATATAAGAATGAACATGAATCTCTCTTATTCTTGTTGTTTGTGGATAGGGCGGGCGTGCGGTGTACTTGCGTGTTGCAGATGAGCATTTGACCGGCATTTACGGGTAATTATCGGCAATAATAGGCGAAATAGAGTAGAGAAACATTAAGACTTTAGTAGTAAATACATTTCGTGTTTATTTACTTTTTTATTTTTTTTATTGAGACGTTCCAAGTGCCTGTGCCCTCCCCCACCATCACTACTATACACTGTGCGTGTTTAATTCGATCTCCCTAGCAGCAGCCGTTAGCGCAGTGGCCGTTAGTAGCAAGAGGCGCGGGCGCGGATATAGTTTCACAACACGGTCGAGGTTTCTCATGCCCTAAGCCGCGCTGGCGCTGCCGACGTGGCAGCGGTGATGTGGCAGATTCTGACACACCGCGGGACCAAGGGGAGGAGAGCTGTGATTCACTCCGGTAGCTAGCGTGGATGCATGGGAACGCTTGCCGCTAGCCTGTTTTTACACTCGCGTCTCGTCTCCGTGTTCACCACCGTATATGTACACGTATGTGACCAGGGCCGGCGTGTTTGCCGTGGGTAAAAACCGCTGGTACGGCTTTGTTTAATTTGAGAGCGCGTCTGTGAGAATACGTCGGGAGTCGCCGTTGCCTAGCACTGAGTTTTGACTTGAGAAGTTTTTGTGTGAATTTATGCGAATTTTGTTGCGAACGGATGGCGTAGCATCGCGTATAACGAAACATTGCGAAATCGTGTAGAAGTGAGGACAGCTAGCACTATATTAGAGGGAGAGGGTTGCTGTCAATATATACCAATTTCGTTTCGACGAAGGTTCGAGTGAAGACTATATACACCAAATAAAACACGGCCAAAATGTTTGTACCAGTGCACCAGTATTCATGCTAGAACTGACTGCATGGGCACATTATAGCCGCATTAAAATATTTACGCGGAAAAAGTCCCGCACATTCTTGGTGAAGTGAAACGTATGGCCTACCCGCTATACTACTTACTACCTTTGCTCCTCTGCTGCCTTACTCTTGGTTATGAATATTTCATTCCACGCTCCAGTTGTATTAAGTCCTCATAGGCGACTAGAATGGAGAGCGATAACAAACGATACACACGCCCCCTGTTGTGCGGCTGGCTGCCGACCACGTGAGCCTCAATCACTCGCCATGCTTTGGCAATAAGTGGTCAATCAGCCGTGTGATTGATTGATTGATCATCAGTGCCGCTCGAACCACTGTTTTCTTGTGTAATCTGTGTAGTCTGTCCGTCCCAGTTATGGCGACTCCTAGCCAGATTATTTAGAAATGTTACCCTAGTGTATATGTAGTAAAGGGTTTTTAATTGGTGTGATATTAGATGCACTACTACAACAATTGCAATTAAAATGCAATTACATTAGATTTATTAGATGCAAAAACCAATTGCGCGTTTAGCACGATAAGTGATAGCCGTTACAAATTGCCAGACCACAACAAGCAAGCGACCATTACGTAACGGTGGCATATTCATTTCTGTTAAACGTATATGGCAGACGGGTTGTTAAAAAAGCCAGACTCAGTAGAGGGACAGTACAGTCAAATTCCTTTGTAGTAAAAGTTTAATTTCTCAAGTGTTCTTCGTACAAGTGTCCACACTCTTCGCTATACCGCTTTGCCTACAAATTTGAATATCTCAAGTGTTCTTCGTACATTGTATTCGCACTTTTCGCTACCGCTTTGCCTATAACAACCGTGTTCCATTTCTCGCATTGCAGGAAGGTCCATGTCGACAAGCGAACGTCTCTCCCAGCTGGCCGCTCTGCGTAGGTGACAGCATCGTCGTGCACGTCGGCGACCCGCACGCCGCCGACCTACGTCCGGGCGACTTCTGCATCTGCATCAGCCGCGGTTGCCGCGGCAACGCCCGCCTCGCCGTCAAGTACCGCGTCGGCGACGTACTGCAGACGATCGCCGTGCCCGAGGCGAACTACGCTCACGTGTTCTCGCGCGGCTGGGTCGCCGCGGCGATGGCGGACTCCGCCGACCGTGGGCTCGCGGCGTCACTGCGGCAGTGTCTCGTCGTCGTCGAGCGAGGCACGGCGATGCTTGACTGGTCGCTGGTGTGCTGCACGCGCGACGCCTGCCCCACGCACCCTAGCGGCGGTGCAGCAGCAGGCAGGGGCGCCCCCACGAACCTGAGCGGCGGCAGAGCGGCGGGTGGCGTCCCCGCAGAGCCGGAGGTGAAGCTGCGGAACAAGCGCGGAAAGCGCGGCCGCGGCGCGCGCGGACGGAGCTGGCAAGCGCGCGGCGCGGCGGCGGCGGCGGACTGCCAGTCGGACCGCGACAACACTCTCAGCAACAACCACGGCGACCACCAGAAGCAGCGGCGCGATCGACGCGGGGACAAGTGCAATAGCGTGATCGTCGTCGGCGGCGGCGGCGGCGGCGCGCGCGACAGCTTCGTGTCGGCCGGCGGCGAGGAGGAGGACTCCCTCTCCGCGCGCGGGTGCGACGACAGCGTGTCGAGCTGCAGTAGCGCTCTGGACTCCTCCGCGCTGTCGGGTGCGGGAGGTCGGCCGAAGGAGGAGGTGGGCGGCGCCGACGCGGCCATCGCTAGTCTGTGCACGCGCAGCGGCGAGGAGATCGCGTGCATGTGCTGCTCGCACGCCGAGCTCGGAGGCTGCGCCGACGCGGAGACGACCGCGCGCAAAGACACGACGACGACGTCGGTGGCGCCGCGTAGGAAAACGAAATCGCTGTCGTCCTTCAGCGCAGGGGAGACCCCGACGTTACCTCTGCCTCGATGTGCGAGTCATTCCGCTAAGCGAGCCGCTAAGTCAGCAGGCAGCAAGGGCAGTTCCGCAGATTCCCCGCCGCCCGGCAGTCCGAAAGCCGTCGAAGAATCCAGCAAAGGTGGGTGGATTTTATACTGTCGGTGCTCGTAATCTCTCTGACTATGTTTATGGAAGTGCTTGGAATTTCCGTGGTGAATGAACTGTCAGCGTATGTTTTGAATCGGTGTTTATCAACAACGCAGTGCTGTTTATTTGTGTATATTGAGGCGGAATTATTATCGTTTTGCCAAGTGACACCAGAGGGAGCCACCTGCTGGTATGTTGCACACTGGTTGCAATAGCTGTGTTAGGCTGCTTTACCAACTTCATGCGTTTGTTGAATTAGCTGATCACAATATTGTTTCAGAATTGGAAGAAAAGATCAAGTCGTATAGAAAAGCCGAGCCAGAGTTTCCTACAGAAATCAACAAGATAGACATGGAATGTCTAAAAACCAAATTGGCAATTCTAACAGGTAAACTAAAGGTTACAGGTGAAAATAATCACAATAAATTGTAAGTTTTGAAGTTTTAAAACGAGAATTTACCGGAGCGATTTATACATTTGTTTTCAACCCGCATACTTAGAATTCTAAGGGTACTTATATAAGTTAATATTCTCATTTTAAAATACAGAAGAACATGTAAGTATTATTGATCATGGATTAGTTTTATTGTGAGTGAGCTCGCCGAAGCCCTGGTTCAGAGCTCTTCACTTATTTCTACTGTCTAGGTCACAGAGACGTGGACGGTCATGGAGTCATTATGTTTGATACTGCCAAGGTAACCAAGGCTTGTACTGTAGAAAACGTGGGCAAGATTCTCCTATACTACTCCACTATAGCAAGGTAAGAAGCACCACTGTGTGTCATTATATCCATATATCCTTAATTAAATGCAAAGTGTATTAGCGTATTAGGTATCTGCATAGTTATATGTAATCCAATGATTGCGAGTTGAACGAATTTGGTAATCTAGAGACCGTGTTTATTACAAAGTTGCTATTTGCATTCTAATAATAATTATTCAATTGAAAAACGTCAACGATTGCGATATGTTATTGATTTAATGATTTTATTTGAAGGTCTGTCATTGATTATTACAATTATGTCTTTGTAGAGAGGAGATAGTCTGTAAAGGCTTCACAGTATTGGTGGATGTTAGAGGGGCCACTCCAGCATCCGCTGAGTTGATCACTGCTGTCCTCTATAATCTTCAGGTAAGAATGTTGCACGTATGCATAAGAAAGTTATGGAGGATTTACTCAATGCATTCATATTCAATCTAGGATTAATTATTTCGAAACGTCTCTAGGTGTGACAGTATTTTCATTACACACTGTGCAGACAGGTGAAATTTAAACCCTGTTGAACCGTGTTCATCTCAGCCGTTGGCACTAAATCAAATAGACACTGCACAATACAGCATGCCTGCGCTTGGTTAAGAACTGTTGTGTTCGACTCCTCACGTTTTATGTATTACTCTTCATGTCTCGAATAAAGAGAGCATCACTAAATCCCAGGAAGCTCAGAGAGAGAGAGAGAGAGAGAGAGAGAGAGAGAGAGAGAGAGAGAGAGAGAGAGAGAGAGAGAGAGAGAGAGAGAGAGAGAGAGAGAGAGAGAGAGCGAGAGAGAGAGAGAGAGAGAGAGAGAGAGAGAGAGACAGAGAGCGAGAGAGCGAGAGAGCGAGCAAGCGAGCGTCGCAAGCATTTATATCATGGTAGAGCTATAATCAGCATTCAAATTTATTTACCCACTCTGACCGCTGTGGTGCGAAGTGTTACACAAAGGACAAGATGTTAACTCGTTCTGACAGCTTAAGTGCCTATATGGCCACCAGGCTGCGGGCGGTATAGGGATGCTGGGCATGAGGCGGTTCAAGATTACATGTTTCATTCGGTAACACTGACAACTCGCGTACCTACGGCCCACCGCCGCGTCGCGTCCCAGCCGTGTAATCGGAACAAATGTAGATTATACAGTTCGCTTTTTTCCATCGCTGCGTGAACTCGAACGCCTCCGGGCCCAATAGTCGAGAGAGATCAACGCGAGGGGATAGCCTTATTAATTCACGCCTGAGATTGAGCAGGTGAATGCGATTAGACGCTCGACAAAGACTAGATGTGTGAGTTGCTAGCGGCCCAACCCAACCAGCCAACCAGCCTGTCTGCTGTATAGCGATGCGAACATGACGTGGGGAATAGAGCAGATATTGGTCCGAGTTAGGGCGCAGTTTGTAACTCCTGCACAGCTTTGACATGATGGGAGATATCAATAGCTAATAATACCTGGAGTGTACAATGGGAAAACGGGAAAATAGTGGCATTTTACGGCAATATTATTCTACTTTGACTGCGAGTCTAGAATAGGTTCATGGTACATGATGTATTGCATTAAGCAAGGTATTGTGAGCTCTTGAAGATATGAATGTGACAGTGATCATCACTGCTGTCGGTGAGCATAGGATCGCTTTCCTGCGATAAAGAATCGCTGTCTTGTGAGCAGCAGTAGTAATCCTTAGTGGCTAACGACTGACTGTTGAGCAACGTGGCCTCTATATTAGAGATCCCCGTGTTTGCGGATGACTGCTTGGAAATGAGCGAGTGCGTGCGGTTTCTTCAAATTTTAAACTAGGCTAGGTTGAGGATTTACTCGGGTGAGTTTAGCAATTATGCCAGGGGGATACAGTTAATCACATTTGGAGAGAGAGAGTTTGAAACCCCAGGCAGTTTTTACCTTCATCTTGTATGTGTACGCGCGTGACATCCGGACGTACTGATAGAACAGGTTGCTTTACAGCTCTAGAACTATAGCCCATCGCTCTGCCATAGGCCTGTGGCAGAGCGATGGGTTATATAGTTCTAGAGCTATAGTTGCATCACAGAGGCGTCCTGCGAGAAAAAGCAAGCTTTTCCTACAACATCTGCCGCATTACGAACTGTTGGAAGGTGGTAGGTTCAAAACATTCGTTAGTAGACTGAGTGATGTTTGTTGTATAGGAGACAATTAATTAACAACGTCCTATTTCTGGCAGTGACCCGGCCATAATACGCGCATAGGTTGTTAACTGTGACAAATTGTTCTGGTCCCACTGAACTTCTATCAATGAAGCGTGACATGATATCTAGTAGAAGTAACACAGCTCGTTAGATTCTTTAAAGCTAAGCGTTTACTCTCGTGCTTTTTTAGAGACCGGCTCGTATAAATATCCATTTGTATGTATACGCGAGTGCGTGTCTGGTTGCCCCACCCCACACGCTGTGTGCGCGTGCGTGCGCGCGCACGTGTGTGTGTGTGAATATACGTGCGCGCATTGGTATTGGTGTGTTGGTACACATGTGAGTGTACAGTGTATACACTGGCTTATAAAATCACAAAGCAACCTTCATTTTCTTTAAATGAGGAAGAGCGTTCGTAGCTTAAAAAACGATCTAGTTAAGTTGTTATGTACGAAGTCAGGAGGTCACGAGACCGCGTGTCATTCTCATCCACGTACTTGTTTGAAGACGAAATCTTTGTGTGGACGGTATCTGTCAAACCTATATCATATGAACAAACAGTCAGGTGCATTCTCTGTTTATATAACTCCCATGTGAGTTATATGGGCCATTTTATAGTAGGGAGTTTGTGATAAGGAATTCACTTTTAAAGAGTTGAAGTGAATAACAATGACAACAATAAATAAACAACCAATTTTCGTGTCACTTCATATAGTACACACGCAGCAGCGTATATGAAAAGACCTCGCGTCAAATCCTGTAGTCGTAGTAGTGATTATGCGGCCTGCATTGGATGGCCGTCTAAGTATGGCCTTGTTCTCTGGTACACTCGGGCACAATTAACAGTCTTTAGATACGTCTTTTGTGGGCTGGTTTCAAAACGAGAGTCCACATAAATATTAATTTAAATTAATTAAACTAGAATTAAAATTTAGTCGACAAGACGTGAACTTGAACTAAACTGGCAATAATTAAATTACAGGTTAATTGCACATTTAATTTCTTCATTGCAACTTTATTGCGATTGAGTATATTCTGATTTATTGCACTAAGCACATGCAATGTGTCAATTAAAATCCCAATGGCCACCTGTGTGCTGTGAACTGAATCTTGGGCAAATATTTGCGCGGTAGACTTGCAACTTTTACCTGTCTTTTAATAGGAAGGTACATATTGATATTCCGCTCACAAATGGCTACACTGCTGTAAAGTCAGTTTGAAACAAAAACCGGTCGGCCAGTCGGCCCCAGTTTTGCTACGGACTTTCCCGCCGTCGCACAGACATGTGGCGGAACGAAACGAAATTCAAACGAAATTCGGAAGTTTACGACTTCCTGTGTTTGCTTATTAGATATGCAACTGTCTAATTACAATTGCCAGGTGAAGTCACTTAAATGTTCAGTGACCCGGCAGAAGGGTACGCGCTAATAATATCTCGCCACTTGCACGAATAAGTGTACGATTTTCACGACGTCTTATAATTTTATGATTGTAAGAGTTGATGCGCAGACAGTCATGCATACCATTGTCACGGTCTTATGGCGGCTAGCCCCGCTCTAGACGCGCGTTGTTACATGCGCATGCGCAGACTTACACACACGCGCGGGCGCGCGCGCATGTACGAACCCATGAATGCTCGCATTTGTGAGAAGACATAATCAGAGTATTAGGCCTATGCATGTATAAATAATATCAGGAGTGTATAATATAGAGTTAATTTCTACATTATACACTCCTGATTATATATATATATATACACTCCTGATATTATTCATATATATACTCCATATATATATAATAATTATTTAGATCACTTGTTTACCAAACATGTGTGAAACTGCATAGTGTGTGATGTTGGTGAACTAAGGTTATTGTGCATCATTAACTGGCATTATTTTAGGTAGACAAGCCGCACGCAGTAATGACCCCATACTGAATTGTTTATGTGAAGTTATCTGTCACCATCAGCCGCTAGTGCTGTCGGCGTGTCGCCATAATGAGGAACCTGTCTATGTGGCGCAGCAGGACGTAGCGGAGCTGGCTGTGATCTGTACTGAGCGACCGTGGTTGTCAAGCAGCACGGTCGCGCCGGCGGGGGGCTGCGCTGTTACCTGTGCTGATTGATAGCGTGACCTTCAGGTGTGTTCGCGACACTTGTCGGCGTTTGTGGCGGAGGAATGACAATTTTTGGTCACCTGTGAACGGTTTGCTACAGTACGTTGCTTAGAATGTTGCTGATGAGAATAGAATTGTGATATATATACGACACCAGAAATGGAATTTTAGGATGTTACTGTTACTGTAACAGTTACAGTAACTGTAACAGTTACAGTAAGTGTGCTGTTACTGGCGGCAAAGAGTCAGATGCCAGGGGAACTTTATTGAGTGTGTTGATAGTATTTTCCACAGTAATGTTTATTAGTGCCAGATATTCTGCATTCAAAAGGAATTCAGGAAGTTGATGATAGGAGAATAATGATCTCCCATTGTCTAATCCCAGTCGCTATTCATGATCGCTGATTTTTTGGTGTTTACGGACTTCGTTTTTACATTCCATTACGAGGCGACGGGTAGATCTCCGTAATTTGCATCGCATTATGTGTGTAATGATGCATTGCTAATTGGCGGTTGGGTTGCCGTTTGCAGGCGAATCTTCCTGGAGCCGTCAACAAGATCTTGGTGCTGGCTGCGAATATAAACGACGCTGCTGCCACCATACTCCTCAACTCTTCATTCAAGGTATGTAGCATGTATTGATTATGTAGATCAAAAGGATTGTCAGGGGTTAATAATGACAAATTATAACGACAAATTAATAATTACAATTTGTCATTATTAACCCCTTATATATATATATGAATATTATAGTAAAAACTCCTTGTAGATATAAGTCTGGAATAGCAGCAATGTTTACTTGAATTTTTTTTTCTGGCTGACACAGACTTACTCACTGTAACAGAATAGGGCTGGCTACTACACCTGCTGGTTTGGCGCATATTTACATTTGACGCTGGTTTCCTTGTTTTCCGCACAAAAACGCCCATTTTCTCAGACGTTTCTTCATCGGTTCCTGATTGCCAGCTGAGTTACCGTGAGAGTGGTTAGAAAGCGAGAGAGTGACCGTACCATTCCCGTAACTGTGCCGTCGTTGAAAAAAACCGGAAGACACGGTAGCGTACGTCGAATAAAGAGTGAAATCTTACGCGTAAGGATCAAGCGTGTCGCCAGCAGGATTCGCTAAGAGTCAGCAGTTGTAAAATTTCCAACCTACTTTTAGTTTGAGACCGGTCGACCTGTTGTGATAACAGATCTGGTTCATATCATCATGTGGACAGTTTTACAGAACTCATCATTAACATTAATTGAGCATTTTTTTAAATTCGATCTGTTCTGCTTGCATTCGTTTTTGTTATTAAAATATTATAAAATTATTCGTAATTTTATTGTGTGTGTGATATATGGTTCCTGCTAGTATATCACATCATAGTGAATGTGGGATGAAGATTTTGATCTTTCAATACTAACGGAGCATCTGTCTGCTAATGGTAGGCACACTGTCGCAGTAATCGATAACCTGAGAACTGGGTCTATGCTACGTTCACGTCTCTCACAGATGCCAGAAGCTTACCCCCATTCACGAACAATGCTGTATAGCGTCATAGCGTATATAGCGTTGTTGATTGCCGACAAGCGGTTTTTTGCTTCGTCGGATTCTTCGTAGTTTTGTCTGCGGCCTTATGAGCGTTGGCTACTATATAGCTGAAAACATCTGCTAAGGTCAGAGCGTTGTCGGTAATGGCAGTTCATCAACCTTGTACGGGGGTATCTGACTGACTCACTGACTGACAGCGCAAATCCTGGCGCAGAGGTCCGCGGCGGACGGACACAGACGTAGGCGAGCTCTCACGCGAGGGCAGCAACCACCCTTCACCATCATTCTAGACTTCTAGCTGGTAGGGGGGGGGAGTGGCGCCGGTAGCATGGCTGCGACTGCGGGCGGTAGCATCACTGGTTGGTTGCAGAATCATGTTAGCCCGCTCTCCTACACATATAATAAGTATATATATATATTATATATATATAATATATATATATATATATGTATATAATATATATATATATAATATATATATATATATATATATATATATTAGGAGTAAATAATAGTTCCCTATTATCTACTCCTGATATATATGGAAGTTGTGTGAACGGACATGTTGCTGCAGCTATTGGGTAAAGTGTGCGTGTTTCCGCACCCTATGCCCGTCTTGCTGGAGCTAATAGCGTTAGTCGTGTTACTGCAGTGCGTGCACGGTCGCCGCGAAGTAGTCCGTGTGTGGGGCCATATGTACGCACGATACATTCAAATTACCCATCGGCCGTCCTTGATCCGGGACCACCACGCGGCGGGATTAGGAACTAAATAGGGGATCGCGTGAGCACAGTGTGCTCGATGAAAGAGGAAGCGGCGCGCGGGTCACAGGCGATTCCTGGCTGCTTGTAAGGACTGATCACGCAGCGTGGACGTGCTCGTGAAGTCACGGTGGCCTTTCAGCGAAGATGAGAACGGGATTCAGACGACGTCTTTTCCTTTCGCGAGCATAGGCGATATGGCGGCATTTTCGAGAGAGAGAGAGAGAGAGAGAGAGAGAGAGAGAGCGAGAGAGAGAGAGAGAGAGGCCGAGAGAGAGAGAGAGAGAGAGAGAGAGAGAGAGAGAGAGAGAGAGAGAGAGAGAGACGCTCACCCGGCCATCACTTCCTGCTTGTAGCTTATAGCCTCATTAGCTTATCCCCGCAGATCCGCACCGTGGCATGCGCGCGACGAACTTCCAACTGCGCGAATCATTTCTCCTAACACACAAAGTGGAAAAAAAGGGGCAGCAAACTTTACTTTGTCTTCCGTTTAGTGGTCGGACGAAGACTGTCAACGGCAGACACAATGCGTACAAAGGGTCCGGTGTGTGTTCTTATGTGTGTGTCGGCTGAAGGCGTTTGCTACAAGCCGATGTGGAGCAGTTTCTTTCCCTCCCCCCCCCTCTCCTCCACCCTCCCCCCTGTGCGGGCATATACCTGTTCTAGACCGTGGCTAGAACTGACCCTAGGAGGGGCACATCGCAGCGGGGACTGAGTTGTCCTGCTACCCGCAGGCACTTAGAACGTCTCAATAAAAAAAAGGTAAATAAACACGAAATGTATTTACTACCAAAGTCTTAATGTTTCTATACTCTATTTCGCCTATAATCACCTGTAAATGCCGGTCAAAAGCTCATCTGCAACACACAAGTACACCGCACGCCCGCCATGTGCACAAACAACATGAATAAGAGAGTTAATTGTCTCTTATTCATGTTATTTGTGCACATTGCGGGCGTGCGGTGTACTTGTGTGTTGCAGATGAGCATTTGACCGGCATTTACAGGTGATTATAGGCGAAATAGAGTAGAGAAACATTAAGATTTTGATAGTAAATACATTTCGTGTTTATTTACCATTATTTTTTTATTGAAACGTCCCAAGTGCCTGTGCTGCTACATGCGTCTAAACGGAGGAATTGCTCCGACCTGTGATGGGGGATAAAAATAGACTACGCCCACTTTTCCATTTTTGGAGGATAAAAATAGAATTCGTGACGTTTCGTTTCACCGGTCATAGCCGCGCGTGCATATTTGCTAATTAATTAGACTAATCGCGCTTCAATAGACTCAAAATTCACAGAGATTAAGGCTAAGACATGTGTCTATAATAGCTAAAATTTATAGAAATGTAACTCAAATCGTTCGCTCCATATGATAGTTAGTACACGTTCCTACCGGTCATAGCATAGCGTATGCGGCGGGAGTGGGCGGGGTCTATTTTTATCCTCCAATCACAGGTCGGAGCAATTCCTCTGTTTAGACGCATGTGTGCTGCTACCAGCGACAGGCTGCGCCCGTCTCCAAATATTTGAGACGGCGACGTTTCCGTCGGCAGGAAAGGCTATAAGCGCTAACATGTGTCGGCGGTAATGTGTAGGGTGCGCGGAATGAGTGCTGATGACCCCTCGCTACCTGCTTATTTTGTTTCTCCGAAGTTTGGAAAACTCGTGCGAACGCATCCGGCCGACCCCGCTCACGTCCTCTCCCCGTGGCATCGGCTTCTCCCGCCCTCGCGCCCAGAGACATCTGCCTGCATTCACGGGGACTTAATTTTGCCTGTATGACGGCCACCGCTGCCTTCATGCCCGGGGACTCCTGTCTTCATGCCCAGGCCTTCTACCTGCATGTCCGGGGACGTTTGCCTGCATACCCGGGCACTGCAGCCTGCATGACCGGGGACTTTTGCCTGCATACCCGGGCACTGCAGCCTGCATGACCGGGGACTTTTGCCTGCATACCCGGGCACTGCAGCCTGCATGACCGGGGACTTTTGCTTGTATGATGGGCCACTGCTGTCTGCATGACCGGGCTCTGCTGCCTGCATGGCCGGGCCCTGCTGTCTGCATACTCGGGCTCTGCTGTCTGCACGGGCTCTGCTGCCTGCATGGTCGGCCACTGCTGCCTGCATACCCGGGCTCTGCTGCCTGCATTACTGCGCACTTCTGCCTGCATGCACGGCGACATTTGCCTGCATGCTCGGCAACATCTGACTACATCCCCATCCATTGCTGCCTGCATGCCCAGCCATTGCTGCGTGCGTTACCAGCCACTCCTGCTTCTAATGACCTCACACTTCTTTCTGTGCTCCCCGTCGCCCCGGCGCTTCCCCCATGCACGCCCTGTACACTTATTACGTCTACACGCCCCCAGCCACTTCTACCTGGCACGTAGGCGGCACGCTCCCGCGCTCGCGCTTGCACTTTTTTAATCGCAGGGTCAGCTGACGAAATAAGTGCAGTGTAGCGCGGCTAAGACCCAGTGGCGCACGCACAATCGCCGTGTGAGACTTGACACTGTGATTTGACACGGAGCGCTGCGAGTGCGAGCAGCTGCTTTATTCTGACGGCGTTTCGCCGCCGCCGAGATATACATCTCTAACGTACGTTTTTATCTGACGTACGAATCGCGCCGTTTAGTTCGCACGAGCGACGAATATTGAATGTGATGTGTAAATGTATGTACACATATTATATGTATATATACGTGTAGAGTACGATTTCAACGGATGGTGCCAATTTAATGTGGATCGTGCGTTTTACCCGAGAAACGGATCGAGCGTTTTACCCGAGAAACGGATCGAGCGGTTTCTTTTCGTGATCACGAGAAACGAACGTAGAACAACGTAGAAACTTTGCGGTTTTGCCTGATATCTGTCGTCGTGCGTTTAACCTCGGGCACGAAGCGAGTTCTTTATTGCGTGAGATGCACTGAACACGTACCTGGACCGTTGATTGTTGTTGATTGTTTGGACGCCCTTCGCAGTGTGAAACAACCCTGCATTGCGCGCGGTGCGTGCGACCATATGTGCTCTTACAGTAGCTATTTGCGTTCTGTGGCAGACGACAGGGGGTCGGTCGCTATCGCTACGCCGGCCGTGGCGAGTGTTATTTTTCACCTCGACGTCGGAGAACGCGTACCACGCATCCCCTCGCGCGGGGAATCAGGAAGCCAGGCGAGGGATGTAAGTTGATCTCCGGCGTGCAGCAGCAGCGGGAGATTTGGCGAGAGTAAGCGAGAGGAGGACGAGTGTGCGTTTCCCGATCCTATTTGAGACTACTACCGTGTGCAGCGGTGGGGGAGATTTGGCGAGAGTAAGCGAAAGGG